TCACCTCGACGAGATATAAATGCTCGTCGCATGACAGTCAAACCGGTACGGTATTATCAGAGCCGGAATCTTAACCAAATTCAGCGCAGAGCCAAATTGAATGTGATGGGGGGGGCTTTTTGTGCAATCATGATAATATGTGTGCTAAGACCATCAAATCACTACACTCGAGAACCCGGTTTATTCGCGCGCGGCTGAATTTAACGTAATTTTAACGGTAACAATATAGTTTAACAGGACAGATTTATGACTTTAGTTGGAGGATGGAAGGAAGAAGAGCAAGGGAAATAAGAATAGGTTTTATCCTTTCTGGCATTAAAACAGGCGTTAAGATGTTCAAACACCAAATTGATACATTTTTCAAAGAATCAAATCTGCATTAATCACACGTACTTGTGGTGAACATGCAAACCAACATGATCTGATAATATATGCATTGTCTTTGATTAGCTTATACCAGAGTCAGCATTCTTTATGATCTTGTCTCACCAGTGTTAAGACGAAAGAACGCCAAATGGCGAACAGTTCAAAGGCAATGCAAGTATCAATGTATGACTTAGTAGCTCAGGTTGAGCAGTTCTGTCTATGGAACCTTGTTTTGCCAGTATCATGGAGGCGTTGGGATCAATTGAAATAAAGACTGGAGAGGGATGAAAGGACATGGGCGCATGGAGAGACAGCCAACAACTGTCTAGCAGCGCAACATCGAGTGGCGACGACAGAGACGATGGCGACGAGACGACAGCGACGATGGCAGCGATCTTCAACAGCACAACGGGGATCCCACTCCACACAACAGCCCCGAATTCTCGCTCAGGGCCCCCTTTTATGCTCCCAGCTGGGCCTCGCTCCGCCCCGGCCACGCCCTCTCTCTAGAACCTACCAGCGGGTTCCCAGGGCTTCCCCAATGTGTTCCTTCTATGACCTTTCCCCAGATATCCCCTCTCTGGTGTATCACCTGGCCTGCTGACGTCAGGGCTGCTGTAAGACGCAGATCCCCTTCCCCGCCAGCAGCCAGCGCTATGCTGCTACATGACTTATTCTATGCCACTACACCTTTATAAACTCAACGATGGTACACGATGTCGTTTACAAGTGTAACCAGCGAGCACGAGCATATCACATCACGCATGCAGAGCATCCGCTGAAGTTTTTTTATTTGCTTGCAGTTACTCGCTAAGTTTGGATAACTCACAAAATGAACAATTGGTTAAAATATTGATGTTCGTTGTTCGTACATTTATTTCTCAGAACCATGTTGGGTCAGAAAAAGGGGGGTCACTCGGTTAAAACTAAATTCAACAAGAGGGGTACAGCAGTAGCCAACAAAAGGTTGAGAACCGCTGCTGTAGACAATGCTTTAGTCGCTGTCGGAGGTTTAATTGTTCCTCTGCTTACAACTTGACCGACTTTTTGGTAATAATGTTCCCTGGTATTTAAACAAAACCCACATTCAGATGCGTAATTTGCTTTTCAGGCTTGACAGGTAATGAAATACTTTCAAAATGTGTCTATTAAAATGTCATTTAAATCTGGGGCACAGGGAATGCGCACACACACACAGGACTGTGCAGTCGGATCCCCACACACAATGGAGGAGAGACGCTTCATGCTGAAACCGGTTCAGACTTTTTATTGCGCTAAATCAATGATGCTGAAATTATGCTCACTCCCAGAAGGACGTGAGGCCAATGGGTTACATAGTAAATATGTTTTAAATTTTCCACGGGCAGGGATAGATATACGTACCCAGTACGTAAATATGTCAACGTTGGAATGTAGTTGGGCCAACTTTGGCGCAATGTTTCATGTTTCCCGGTTTATATGGAGACATTTATTGTCTGCTTATCTCTGATTTGGGAGGCTCTATTGCTAGATTGGCTTGTCAGCTTCTTATTCTCTCAATTGATTAAACTATTTTGAAATAATACATTTCTGTTCATATTGTATTTACATCGCGGATGTCACTGTGTAATGCCGGCCCTGAGAGGCACGTTGTGCGATGTCGCGACATCGCGGACACCACGTACAGGCAGTCCTCTACTTACGATGGAGATGCGTTACGACAACCCCATCATCGTAAGTCGAAAATATCATAAGTCGAAGATGGCCTAGCCTACCCAGGAGTCTTAAAGAATGGTGATAATTTAGCAAAACAGAGCAATTTACAGTACCGTACTGTATAAACTATATACTGTAAGTATTTATTAATTACAATACTGTATTGCACAGTAAAATGTAAAGTAAAACAAACCATTTAAATTCTTAGCCTACCTATATGAATTGCAATTTAATAGAAAGTTTTTTTTAGGAAACAATCATATCTGCTATAAAAACTTTTAACATGCATTGAACGTATCGTATCGTGGTAACCTTAAAATGAAATCGCCAAAGCTACGTATCATACATGTATTGAATGTATCGTAACGTATCATATTGCACTGTACTCACCAAGATTTTGTTCGTCGTCTGCATACTTGAACGATGTTAGGTTGTTGATGGCAATTTTGTCGTATCGCCATCGTAAGATCGAAATATCGTAAGTCGGACCATCGTAACTCGGTGACTACCTGTGTAATATGAAGAGATGCACCTGGGGGGTAACTGGGCCATAGTGATAGGCTCTGCCGGCCTCAGCCCGCAGCCAATGGGACGTCGAGCCAGGGGCGTAGCCTGTGGCTGCATAGTAACATCTGGAAGGTTCCAGGGGGCGAGGCTGATGATTGGCTGCGTGGTATCACGTGGGCCAGGTGTTATAAGGGGTGGAGAGAGACAGTTCCGGGTCAGTGTGGAGAGGGGCTCAGGAGGAACCACGTCTGTGTCACCGGCACGCCAGCGGCCACGTGGCGGGCCGGAGGCTGTCTCTGACACACACCGTCAACCAGCGGTGTGGGGAAGCGAGGCAGCGAGTGGACGCCACGCTCGGGGAACGGAGTAATGGGGGAAAGAGGAACCCAGCGCGTGAGGGAGCTGTGAATGAGGAACGAATAAAGAAAAGACAAAAGACACAGTCTCGTCTGGAGTGGATTCATTACACCTGTGTATGTGGGTGCAGTACCGGTCCTAGAGGGGCTCGGTGAGCGCTGACTGGCAGTGCTGGATGGCAACACGCTCTGCGTGCAGTGCCGACCCCTACAGGATAGGGTGTGAGAGTGCCGGCCATGGGAATGGGGTTACTAAAGGCCATGGCACTCTGGTTGACCCCAAAGGACACGTGACCGGTAAAGACTACACAGGGCCAGCAGGTGGGGGCTAGGGGTGGTCACGTGTCAGGGTCGAGATCCTGCTCGAGGGTTCTAGAAGGTAGAAGGTAGAGAGGATATAAGCCGAGTCCCCTAGAGGGACCGGCTGTTGTGGTTATCCTGAAGAATCTACGTTCTACGTCCGAGAAGAGTCACCACACGTGGACCTGGACCCAAGCTGGGGTCCTGTCCGTTGTAGCTACTCTTAGTGTAGTTAGCCTGGTGGTCCACCACCACAGGTTGTTATCTGGTATAGGGGCAGTTACCCCTTTGTGTTGGTATCAATCAAGGCCGTAATTATAATATATATTTTGGGGGGGGGGGGCACATCCCCCGCCCCCATATTCAAATATGCTTAAAATGTCCCCCCCCCCCAATATATTGCTATAAAATATATTGCTGTGTATATGTTTGTGGTTATGGTTGTACTTTATTAATCCCTAATCTCTGCCATTACATACAATGAAACAAAGGTAAAAAGTAAAAAACAGCAATGTAATACAATACTATTAGACATTGTTAAACATAAAGAAAAAGTCCATCCTATGTGTTAGTGAATTGTTTCTTTGGCAGGAAATTCGTTTTCAAATGTAGATTTCTTTTTTCTGGGGGAGGGGGGGGCTCCCAGACCCCCTGGAAGATTTGGTCCAACCCAATATTGACTCCATGGCTACGGCCTTGATATCAATAAATGTGTTGCCTCCAAAGAGTACGTCTGCGACTCCGTTGAACTCACTACAATATTACCAAGTCAGGCCCACTGAGCCGTGTAGCTCTTTTTCAGAAGCGACTTTGCCACAAATGATAGCTCAACGAAGTGGCTTATCATCACGTCGAAATTTAGAGCAGCCAGATACCCCAAACGCGTGATGTCGATTCCGAACGTGGAGGGAAACCCCGGAGGGTCCGGAGAAAAATCCACAAGACCACAGGGAGAGGGAGAGAGACATGCAACCTCCAAATGACAATACTCCCATTGTTTACTCTAACCCCTGGTCCATTTCATCCAGCGGTGCACTGAGCATGGCAGGTGCGATTTCTCGTCCTGAGCAGGGGCCAAGGCAATGCGACCGCACGCGAATTTTTCGTGAAGTCACGTTGTGAACTCAATTTGTATTATTACACGCTTTCATTTAACTCACTCTGTATGTTGTCGTATCCTCAAATCTTGTAACTTAATTTTAAGCCACTTCCAAATGTGGTATCGACTGCAAACTTGGTATACTTATGTCATACTGATGACAATATTATATTCTATCATAAAAAATACTTTTTTTAAAATTATCTTTTTACATGCTTTCTATGAACTCACTCTGTTGTTGTATCCTCAAATCTTGTAGCTCAATTTTAACCCACTTCCCAATGTGGTATCGACTGCAAACTTGGTATACTTATGTCATACTGATGACAATACCATATTCTATCATAAATATATATTTTAAACATTTTTTCTTATATGTTGTATTTCGGCTTGGGTCTAACTGTCCACGCTCAACTGACGTTGGCTGTAACGTCGTGGCAAGCTTCGGGGCCACTTCTTGGAGTCGTGGAGTTCTGCCATTACGAGCACATTTCATAAAAGCGTGTTTTTAAAAAAAAATTTTAATGACTTATTTCAAGAGAGTGCAAAAGATGATAACCCTCAACATTGGCGGTGCATGTTGGCTCCACTATCCAACTGAAGCGTCAGGCAGGGAGCCTCAGGCAAAGATCTCCCCCGTGTCGCCTTCACAGGGAGCGGGGGGGGCAAGCACCACGCCCGGCCGCCTTTGTCTCCCCCAGCGGCGATGCTACACACCGCACCGGGTACTCGTTTCATGCCGAGTCGACCCAGGGGAGGCCCGGGGGTTCCCCGCTTAGATAATCGTCAGCGGTGTTCGTTGGCGGTGAGCGGAGATCGAACTCTGTGATCGCAGCGCTGCGCTAACCGCTGCGCCACCGCTCCCACGGAGCCTGAGAAACCTCCACGTGGTGGGTGGTGGGGGGAGCGCGGAAGCGACAACTTTGTTAACATGTAAAACTTATTGGCCGGGGTTTTTTTGTAAACGCACAGCAAATATTAACGTCGATTTTTCTGTAAATTAAAACGTTTATAAGTGAACAAAAAATCAACACTTTAATGTCGTTCCGGGGGTTGTTTTGAGAGACGCGGGGCCTGAGGCCCTCCGCGCCGCTCGTCACAGCGCCGCCACCGACTTCTCCTCCTCCTGCTCGTCCTGCTCGCCCTCGTCGTCTGGTGAGGGTGAGGACGTGGTGGAGGTGGTGGACATGCAGCTGCCGTCTGAAAGGTAAACGGAGAGAGAGGCCACACGCTTTAGAAGCTCGTCAGGCGAGTGGATCGAGGGTGTTGCCCGTTGCTAAGGAGGAGAGAGGCCTTCACCCGCGGCGTTGTTCACTGCAGCCTGGAGGAATCCGATGATCTATAAAGCGCTTTATTCACAGATGTTCTCGCCTGCTTGGCCATACTTGGCGGCTGTTGGTGCGTGCTGGTGAGGCGGAGAGAGTGATCACTCTCACAGCCACACAGCCCTCGATGCGCCACTGATGTTAGCCGTGGCCGGGAATCGAACTCAGGTGCTGGGCCACAGGGCCAGTGCGCTCACCACTGACAGTGACACGACGTTTGGCAGTGCTATGATGATGTTTGGCAGTGCTATGATGATGTTTGGCAGTGCTATGATGATGTTTGGCAGTGCTATGATGATGTTTGGCAGTGCTATGATGATGTTTGGCAGTGCTATGATGATGTTTGGCAGTGCTATGATGATGTTTGGCAGTGCTATGATGATGTTTGGTAGTGCTATGATGATGTTTGGCAGTGCTATGATGATGTTTGGCAGTGCTATGATGATGTTTGGCAGTGCTATGATGATGTTTGGCAGTGCTATGATGATGTTTGGCAGTGCTATGATGATGTTTGGTAGTGCTATGATGATGTTTGGCAGTGCTATGATGATGTTTGGTAGTGCTATGATGATGTTTGGTAGTGCTATGATGATGTTTGGTAGTGCTATGATGATGTTTGGTAGTGCTATGATGATGTTTGGCAGTGCTCTGATGATGTTTGGTAGTGCTATGATGATGTTTGGCAGTGCTATGATGATGTTTGGTAGTGCTATGATGATGTTTGGCAGTGCTATGATGATGTTTGGTAGTGCTATGATGATGTTTGGCAGTGCTATGATGATGTTTGGCAGTGCTATGATGATGTTTGGTAGTGCTATGATGATGTTTGGTAGTGCTATGATGACGTTTGGCAGTGCTATGATGATGTTTGGTAGTGCTATGATGACGTTTGGCAGTGGCACGATGTTTGGCAGTGCTGTGATGATGTTTGGTAGTGCTATGATGACGTTTGGCAGTGACACGATGTTTGGCAGTGCTGTGATGATGTTTGGCAGTGCTATGATGATGTTTGGCAGTGCTATGATGATGTTTGGTAGTGCTATGATGATGTTTGGTAGTGCTATGATGATGTTTGGTAGTGCTATGATGATGTTTGGTAGTGCTATGATGATGTTTGGTAGTGCTATGATGATGATTGGTAGTGCTATTATGATGTTTGGTAGTGCTATGATGATGTTTGGTAGTGCTATTATGATCTACACTATGGGGACCTCTTTTGCCAGTAAAAATATGATAATTGGTTCTTTACCCTTCTATCTGGCAACAAAACTGACACCTTTTTACAAGGAGTCATGTTTGCATAGACCGCAATACCTGCAGTCATAAATACAAACAAAAGACATAACTCTGATAATGTTCACTGTCCTTGAAGTTGATTGGTCCACACCCGAGACAGCTTTCCTTCGAGCCTAGTCTCACATGGGTTGGACCAGAAGACGCCAAAAGGCGCACAACTCAAAGACAATGCACCATCAGAGTATGAGAGCTCGGGGCAAGCATCTACACTATGGGGACCTCATTTGCCAGTAAAAATATGATAATTGGTTCTTTACCCTTCTATCTGGCAACAAAACTGACACCTTTTTACAAGGAGTCATGTTTGCATAGACCGCAATACCTGCAGTCATAAATACAAACAAAAGACATAACTCTGATAATGTGCACTGTCCTTGAAGTTGATTGGTCCACACCCGAGACAGCTTTCCTTCGAGCCTAGTCTCACATGGGTTGGACCAGAAGACGCCAAAAGGCGCACAACTCAAAGACAATGCACCATCAGAGTATGAGAGCTCGGGGCAAGCATCTACACTATGGGGACCTCATTTGCCAGTAAAAATATGATAATTGGTTCTTTACCCTTCTATCTGGCAACAAAACTGACACCTTTTTACAAGGAGTCATGTTTGCATAGACCGCAATACCTGCAGTCATAAATACAAACAAAAGACATAACTCTGATAATGTGCACTGTCCTTGAAGTTGATTGGTCCACACCCGAGACAGCTTTCCTTCGAGCCTAGTCTCACATGGGTTGGACCAGAAGACGCCAAAAGGCGCACAACTCAAAGACAATGCACCATCAGAGTATGAGAGCTCGGGGCAAGCATCTACACTATGGGGACCTCATTTGCCAGTAAAAAAATATGATAATTGGTTCTTTACCCTTCTATCTGGCAACAAAACTGACACCTTTTTACAAGGAGTCATGTTTGCATAGACCGCAATACCTGCAGTCATAAATACAAACAAAAGACATAACTCTGATAATGTGCACTGTCCTTGAAGTTGATTGGTCCACACCCGAGACAGCTTTCCTTCGAGCCTAGTCTCACATGGGTTGGACCAGAAGACGCCAAAAGGCGCACAACTCAAAGACAATGCACCATCAGACTCCTTGTAAAAAGGTGTCAGTTTTGTTGCCAGATAGAAGGGTAAAGAACCAATTATCATATTTTTACTGGCAAATGAGGTCCCCATAGTGTAGATGCTTGCCCCGAGCTCTCATACTCTGATGGTGCATTGTCTTTGAGTTGTGCGCCTTTTGGCGTCTTCTGGTCCAACCCATGTGAGACTAGGCTCGAAGGAAAGCTGTCTCGGGTGTGGACCAATCAACTTCAAGGACAGTGCACATTATCAGAGTTATGTCTTTTGTTTGTATTTATGACTGCAGGTATTGCGGTCTATGCAAACATGACTCCTTGTAAAAAGGTGTCAGTTTTGTTGCCAGATAGAAGGGTAAAGAACCAATTATCATATTTTTACTGGCAAATGAGGTCCCCATAGTGTAGATGCTTGCCCCGAGCTCTCATACTCTGATGGTGCATTGTCTTTGAGTTGTGCGCCTTTTGGCGTCTTCTGGTCCAACCCATGTGAGACTAGGCTCGAAGGAAAGCTGTCTCGGGTGTGGACCAATCAACTTCAAGGACAGTGCACATTATCAGAGTTATGTCTTTTGTTTGTATTTATGACTGCAGGTATTGCGGTCTATGCAAACATGACTCCTTGTAAAAAGGTGTCAGTTTTGTTGCCAGATAGAAGGGTAAAGAACCAATTATCATATTTTTACTGGCAAATGAGGTCCCCATAGTGTAGATGCTTGCCCCGAGCTCTCATACTCTGATGGTGCATTGTCTTTGAGTTGTGCGCCTTTTGGCGTCTTCTGGTCCAACCCATGTGAGACTAGGCTCGAAGGAAAGCTGTCTCGGGTGTGGACCAATCAACTTCAAGGACAGTGCACATTATCAGAGTTATGTCTTTTGTTTGTATTTATGACTGCAGGTATTGCGGTCTATGCAAACATGACTCCTTGTAAAAAGGTGTCAGTTTTGTTGCCAGATAGAAGGGTAAAGAACCAATTATCATATTTTTACTGGCAAATGAGGTCCCCATAGTGTAGATGCTTGCCCCGAGCTCTCATACTCTGATGGTGCATTGTCTTTGAGTTGTGCGCCTTTTGGCGTCTTCTGGTCCAACCCATGTGAGACTAGGCTCGAAGGAAAGCTGTCTCGGGTGTGGACCAATCAACTTCAAGGACAGTGCACATTATCAGAGTTATGTCTTTTGTTTGTATTTATGACTGCAGGTATTGCGGTCTATGCAAACATGACTCCTTGTAAAAAGGTGTCAGTTTTGTTGCCAGATAGAAGGGTAAAGAACCAATTATGCTATTATGATGTTTGGTAGTGCTATTATGATGTTTAGTAGTGCTATGATGATGTTTGGTAGTGCTATGATGATGTTTGGCAGTGCTATGATGATGTTTGGTAGTGCTATGATGATGTTTAGTAGTGCTATGATGATGTTTGGCAGTGCTATGATGATGTTTGGCAGTGCTATGATGATGTTTGGCAGTGCTGTGATGATGTTTGGCAGTGCTATGATGATGTTTGGCAGTGCTATGATGATGTTTGGTAGTGCTATGATGATGTTTGGCAGTGCTATGATGATGTTTGGCAGTGCTATGATGATGTTTGGCAGTGCTATGATGATGTTTGGCAGTGCTATGATGATGTTTGGTAGTGCTGTGATGATGTTTGGTAGTGTTATGATGATGTTTGGTAGTGCTATGATGATGTTTGGTAGTGCTATTATGATGTTTGGTAGTGCTATTATGATGTTTAGTAGTGCTATGATGATGTTTGGCAGTGCTATGATGATGTTTGGTAGTGCTATGATGTTTGGTAGTGCTGTGATGATGTTTGGTAGTGCTATGATGATGTTTGGTAGTGCTATGATGATGTTTGGCAGTGCTATGATGATGTTTGGTAGTGCTGTGATGATGTTTGGTAGTGCTATGATGATGTTTGGCAGTGCTATGATGATTGGCAGTGCTATGATGATGATTGCTGAGACACCTCGGGCCCAATGAACTGTAGGTGGGTCAGTCCCACTTGAATCTCGTGATATGCTGCTGAATGTGTATTACGTGTCGCCTCGTGGTGGTGGTAGTGGTTGTTGTGGTTGTTTCACACGAGGGTGGTTGTTGTGGTGGTGGTTGTTGTTGTGGTGGTTGTTGTGGTGGTTGTTTCACGTGAGGGTGGTAGTTGTTGTGGTTGTTTCACACGAAGGTGGTTGTTGTGGTGGTTGTTGTTGTGGTGGTTGTGGTTGTGGTGGTTGTTGTTGTGGTGGTTGTTGTTGTGGTGGTTGTTGTGGTGGTTGTTTCACGTGAGGGTGGTAGTTGTTGTGGTTGTTTCACATGAGGGTGGTTGTTTTTGTGGTTGTTTAACATGATGGTGGTTGTTGTTGTTTCACATGAAGGTGGTTGTTGTGGTGGTGGTTGTTGTTGTGGTGGTTGTTGTTGTGGTGGTTGTTGTGGTGGTTGTTTCACGTGAGGGTGGTAGTTGTTGTGGTTGTTTCACATGAGGGTGGTTGTTGTGGTTGTTTCACATGAGGGTGGTTATTGTTGTGGTTGTTTCACATGATGGTGGTTGTTGTGGTGGTTGTTGTTGTGGTGGTTGTTGTGGTGGTTGTTTCACATGCGGGTGGTTGTTGTGGTTGTGGTGGTGGTTTCACATGAGGGTGATTGTTGTGGTGGTTGTTGTGGTGGTTGTTTCACATGACGGTGGTTGTTGTGGTGGTTGTTGCACACGAGGGTGATTGTTGTGGTGGTTGTTGTGGTGGTTGTTGTGGTGGTTGTTTGACACGAGGGTGGTTGTTGTGGTGGTTGTTGCATATTATTAGGGTGGTTGATCTCTTGCTGCAAGCCATGGAGGACTGCCTCCGGGAGCAAACGCAGCTGGAGCAAGAGATTGATGCCTACAGGCAGATCCTGCAGCCACGGTGAGAACACACCAGGGCTCATCATGTATGAAGAAGAGAATCGCACACACGCCATACTTCACCAAAATACGTCACGCTTGCCCCGATAACCGGGCGTAAAATGGTACTTTTACAGTTTCGTTCATTGAGTTTGCATGTCTACGGCACAAACATGCCACCAGCATTGCAAAACTCCATCACATGTCACATTTCGTGTCAACTCTTCCATTGCTCTGAGAGGTAGTCCATCCCGGTGCTTCTCAACCTGTTTCACTTCCCGGCACTCACTTTCGAGCTCGCTCGGTCTTCACGGCACAGACAACCAAAACGTCCCGACTGTGGGCCCGGGTGGGTGGCCAGGGATGAGGGCTGACGGCTGTGTGCCGTGCGGTGCTGTGGCCAATGGAGAGGGGAGGGCGGGAGGTGGGGGCTGGACTGGCCACTGAACGGCATGGAGGGATTCGTCTGACCGAGCTTACCAACAGTTACATTCTTTGCTATAATTCTGAAAACAGCACGGCACACCAGGGACATTCAGCGGCACACCAGTTTGCAAAGCTCTGGTCTGGCCAAGGGGACACCCATTGGTAATCGGCACCTCCTATTAGCACAGTTGGCTGTGAAAGAGGTTCAACATACACACAAGGTGCACACAGTATTCGTCCTGCAATTGGGTATAATCTGCGAGTACAACAGTTTTATTTTTCACTTGTGTTTGCAAGCTACCAACATAACACTGGCCATTTTATGGGGGAGATTATTGCTCATTTAAGTGTGGAACTGTATGAGAATGTGTACAAAAGGAAAGTTGTCGATGTAAATTTGTGAATACTGATATGTGTCCGATTACCATGCTTGGCTACGTACCATGCGAAATAATTTCGATTTAAAGCTTTGGTGACTGCAGGGATTCATATTCTTGGTTCTTTCGGTAGAATGACGTAGAAGGGAAATAATAAAATAATAAAAAGAAAACAACAAAATTCTCACGACGTTTCGATTTTAACACAAGCAATCATCAGGTGTGATAACCACAGCAAGAAGAAGGTCAACATGCATAGGTGCATGCGTAGTGCAAGTACTGAATTAAAACGAAGTTCACAAGGGCTGTGCTCTTATGCAACCATAACCACTGAATGTCACTGTACCGCTTCCTGTTTAGAGAAGACTAATTGCTTTGATACAGCTATTAATGGTGTGCTCGTGTATTCTTTAATTGTAGGGAAAATGTGACTGAGGAATGTGAACCTACACGCATCTCTGCGGGGGGAGACGCGGAAGAAGCAGGTAAAATGCAGTTTTTCTACATCCACTTCAAATTGAATCATTTGACCTTTTCAATCCGGCAGGCAGGATTTCTTAAAATGCGGTCAATTAGTTATCTTGAGTGTTCCATTTTCGACGAGGGGGTTGTAAGTGATGGCGAAACTACTTCTATAAAAGAGAATATATTTGATTCACGCTGTGCAAAACAGTAATACCTCGGTGAACGAATCTGGGAACGTAAAGATGTCAGCCATGGAGGGCCCCTTAGCCCCCCTATTTTATCAAAAACAATGTATCATGCAAAGCGATTCAACAGAGTTAAATGTTTACCGCAGCGCCCATGCGTGCACTCTGTAAACACGACCGGGTGGAGTTTGTTTACCGTACATTATCAGCAGTCAATCAATGAAGGAAGAGCTTCTCCCTTTCCAGCCTGCCATTGCTTGAGCTCCTTGTATTGGTAAAATTTAGTATCGTGTTTTTGTTGTTGTTGCAGTGATAGTTGTGATCTTATTACCCCCATTAAGTCATCCAAACAACCACTGAGTGCAGGTGGCTCTTACTGGGAAAATCGTGCAATGCAAATACATTTATCTGTAAACGGAAAATGCCGAGCGTAAGGAGGGTAGAGGCGGGAGAGGTGAAGAGTGAAGTGGCGCTTCCGTTTGGGTTGGCGCAGTCCACCCTGCAGACCATTTTAAACCAAGCAGACAAATTGAAGGCCACTGTGCAGCGATGTTTTGCTATTGTAGCGCCCCCCTTCACTGAAGTCCTGGAACGCTTTTCTATGCCTCCTATGCAATATCCACCTTTGGTAACGACGTTTCTGATAACGAAGTGACATCATGGAACGCATTTACTTTGTTAGCCGAGGTATAGCTGTAGTTAGTTCCTAAACCAATCTGCCTGTGCGTAGAATAAGTGGTGTTCCAAATTTTTTACCAGTGATAAAAAAAATGTTGCGGTGAAGAAGGGACATTATCCAGAATGTTGCACATGACACGTTTTTGCTTTTAAAGCCGCAGAATTCTTAACGAATGTGTTGGTGTTTTTTGTTTGTTATTTTTGCTTTTGCCACCACTGCCAACAATTATCACCAGCACTTAATTTGAAATAGGAACGCGGTGGTAACGTCCATCAGAGGGCGCCAAAATACCTTGGTGGTTTTGTCCTCGATTACCTGTTAAGCCGTGGCTGTCACTCTCAACCTGAGTGGGTAGTCTTGGTAATATGCAGACACTTAGGTAGAAATAGCATGAAACACCCAGTTGCTGCTGCTGCCATACTAAACAAAACAACTTTTTCTATTTTATTAACCATCAAACTAAACTATTTTTATTTTACCAGGTAAGGCCCACTGAACTATGTGGCTCTTTTTCATAAGTGACCTGGCCACAAATTATAGTCCTACGAAGTGGCTTATCACGTGGACATTGATAGTAGCCAAATACTCTGAATGCATGTTTTTTTAAATGGGGAGGGAAAAACCGGAGGACACGAAGAAGAATCTACGCAGCCATTGGGAGAGAGACCACGCGGACTCCAAATATACAGGCGTCAGGGTCAAGATCAAACCCACGACCTCCTGTATTGCAGGCGAGGTAGTTCACATCTCACTACTATGGCGCTCTAGGGAACAAATCGATACCAGTGGAAGCAGGGTGCTATTTACCTGTTGTGCTGACCTGAGAGCTCCACATTTAGCCATCAATTTTCTGGCGCGAAGATTTCGCAGTGAGACGAGAGAGAATTTTAACATATAAAGCGATATTCTCTGGGTCTTTCGGTAAAGTCACGTAGATAGGTTCAAAGAAAATAACACAAAAAGCTACGACGTTTCGATCGCAACACAAGCAGTCGTCATCAGGAAAAGGGATGACGACCGCTTTTGTTGCGATCGAAACGTCGTAGCTTTTTGGAATATCATCCGCGAAATTTGCTAGTCACGAGCATCTCCGTAACGTATTCCTTATTGTGAATAATAAAGGAATACAGGCAGTCCCTTGGGTTACGGAAGACCCGACTTACGGAAATCCGACCCTAAGAAAGTGCTCATATAAATCATGTCAACAAAACATTTAAATCCTGTATGCGTAACTGTTTGCATTGGTTACATGAGCGCAAATAGTGCAGCGCCGTGAAGTTGCAGATGAATACAGTGGAGCGAGGCGTAAGTGCGGGGCTGCATATTCCCCAAGGTGGTGGTGATATGACAACGAATTGACAGACCCAACACCAATACAAAAAGGTGTACGACAGGGCTGCCCACTTTCACCCAGTCTTTTCAACATCTACTCGGAGCAGATTTTTGATCGAACACTAGCAGATAAAAACATTGGTATTAAAGTCAATGGACAATACATCAACAACATCAGGTATGCCGACGACACTGCACTGCTGGCCGATTCAGAACAAGACCTACAACAAATCTTGGACGAGGTTGCCACAGAGAGTCAAATATGGGGATTACGAATTAATAAAAAGAAAACAAAGGTTATGAAGGTCAGCCGAACTACAAGCGAAATAACAATCAAGCTGGGCAGCGAAAAATTGGAACAAGTACACCGATTTAAATACCTTGGTGTAATCATTGACGATCAGTTGAACCATGAAGTCGAAATCAAGAGCAGAATTGAACAAGCAAGGCAAGCATTTATTAAATGGAAAACACTCCTTGCAGACCGCAACTTGAGTATATCACTGAAACTGCGCACACTGAAATGCTACATCTGGTCAATTTTGCTGTACGGAGTAGAGACGTGGACACTGACAACAACAGCAACAAAAAGGCTCGAAGCTTTCGAAATGTGGCTGTACCGAAGAATGTTGAAAATCCCATGGACAGCCAAAACCACCAATACACAAGTTCTGCAAGATATGGGCACTGACAGGCAACTGCTGAAGATCATCATTAGCAGGAAGTGTTACTACCTAGGCCACATTGCCCGAAACGACCACAAATACCAGCTATTAAAGCAAATCCTGGAAGGAAAAATCGAAGGGAAAAAACGACCAGGACGGCCAAAAACGACATGGCTCAGTAACATCAAAACATGGCTACAATTAACAACAGCACAAACTCTACACGCCGTGCTAGACCGGGACCAATATAGTGAAGTCGCACACGCCGTTAGGCAGCACTAAAGAAGAAGGTGGTGTCTTGTATAGAACGGAGTCGCGCTGTTACGTTGTTACCGTGAGTCTACTCTGCCCGCCACATCGTCTCTTTTCCTTTTGTAGAACGACGCAATTGTTTGTTTTCTATACTTCATGGTGTTCATAAACAATTGGACACAGCACGGTATATGTTCCATTAGTTTAATTATGGGTGGTGTATAGGTTAGATATTCGATCAAATGAAAGAATCATAGGACGTGCAGAGCGTATGTATAGCAATACGGTACAGGAAGCAATAGAAAACGGACTACAGCGCGAGATGCAGTACTGAGAGAAAACGGTAGGGAAGGCACAACTCTTTCTGGCTATGGGATTATTTTATCGTTGATTTTGGGGTGAAATTGTTCAGTTTCTGACGTACGGAAAATTCGGGTTACGGATATTTCTCGTGAACCTAACCCTTCCGTAGCCCGGGGACTGCCTGTACTGTTGTAGTGAATCAATGCATTTTTACATTCCCTAATTCATTCACGACATTATAGTGAAACAATGTGAATAGGAGCAACATAGAGGGCTTAGTATATATAATTATATTATGGCAGTGGTTCTTGACCTTTACTGCGGCCTTGGGGGCCGTCCATAAATGACGTCACGCACCTGGGGGGGTGGTGGTCAGACATTTGTGACGATGTGTGACGAGGGGGGGGGGTTGAGAAATGTGACGTCACATCAAAATGCGCAACTTTAAATAAATATAGAATTGTTATAACAGCACTAACTGTTATAACAACACTCCTACAACATCAGAGTGCAGCGCCACATTAAATACGCACTACAATGACAATAGTTTATAGCGATTTGAAGCATGTTTTATTTTCAAAATGGAAATATGGTTTTGGGGGAGGGGGGGCAGAGCTTTGTGACGTCATATTTGAGGGGGGGTCTGACTTTTTGTGACGCCATGTGACGAGGGGGGAGGGGGTAAAAAATCGTCCAAAAGCACGTGACGTCATTTATGGACGGCCCATTGCACCCCTTTGGTTCTAAATCGTTAAAAAAATTATAACGTTAATAAATACATAGGTTTGATGAAACAAAGTAGTTGTACTTACGTGCCCATGCTTACTTTGTGTTTCGTTGATTTACCTTCTAAAAGAAATGTGCATGTCTTAGCCCCCAGAAAGGGAATCTCGCACCCCTAGGGGGCGTGTGCACTCCAGGTTAAGAACCGCTTTATTATGGCATTTAAAAAGTCAGAGTTTGTTTATGCTCATCTGTGGGGAATTTGGCCTATTTGACGATCACCTGATCCTTTCAATGTAGTTTGCTATGAAATAAACTTGTTTTCCGATGTCACCCTGATGTCAACCCAGCCAAACCTCGTGCTCAAGAGATGGAGGATTTGGAGCTGCTCAACAAAGCTTTGGCAAAGGCCCTGAAGGTCCGAGAGTCTGGCAGAAACTTCCTCAAGGAGCTGGACAGCGCTGGCAGCGTCGGCACAAACGACCAAGCCCCACAAGTCGACGGCTTTTCCGTGCAGGACAAACGGGGCCCTGCACCACCCAGGAAACATCAAGCTGTGAAAGAGAAAAGCCAAACGAGAGGCCCTCCAACAACGGCCGCCGCTGGCACGTCGAGGGCGACCTCCGCCACAAAGGCTGCGCCCAGAGCCTCGTCTCTCTCCCGCAGGCGGGTGGACTCCTGCGGTGCTGAGCGGCCTCCGTCTATGCAAGCTGCCCGAGCCAGGACTTCCAGTGCTTCGCGAGCATCTGCGGTGGACAGGAGGGTTCCAAAGGCAGCTGCAGTCGACAAGCAGGGCAAGCGATCCAGCGTACCGGGCGGTCGGAAATCTGCAGCGGCAGCAGTGACAGCAGCAGCAGCGGCAGCAGCGGCATCACGTGTCTCAAACGCGAAGGGCCTGCGTGTTTCTACAGCTCACACCGCGGAGGTGAGCGGCGTGTCTTAATCTGGGCTTTGTCTTGATGCTGATCTCCCGGTGGAGCTGTGTGTGTGTGTCTATATATATTTGTTTGGCCTTACCATCAGCCCCACCAAAACTAAACACCTTCCTGGGTATTTTCTACCATCGGACACTCCACCCCCACAACTCCCAATTGGTGATGGGGCAGTTGCGGAGAGAGTGGAGAGCTTCCAATATCTGGGCAGTTTGCTCATGAGCGGTTCCGGTTTGACAGCAGAGGTCTCCGAATTAGTCGAGCGGCATTATCTTTTCATCGGTTGCGTAACACTGTGTGGAAGCTTACCTGGTCTGTCGCTCCACACGAAGCTTCAGGTCTTACTCTATGGGGACCTCATTTGCCAGTAAAAATATGATAATTGGTTCTTTACCCTTCTATCTGGCAACAAAACTGACACCTTTTTGCAAGGAGTCATGTTTGCATAGACCGCAATACCTGCAGTCATAATACAACCAAAAGAACATAACTCTGATAATGTGCACTGTCCTTGAAGTTGATTGGTCCACACCCGAGACAGCTTTCCTTCGAGCCTAGTCTCATATGGGTTGGACCAGATGACGCCAAAAGGCTCGAAGGAAAGCTGTCTCGGGTGTGGACCAATCAACTTCAAGGACAGTGCACATTATCAGAGTTATGTTCTTTTGTTTGTATTATGACTGCAGGTATTGCGGTCTATGCAAACATGACTCCTTGCAAAAAGGTGTCAGTTTTGCTTCAGGTCTTCTCGGCCACAGTCATGCCCTCCCTTCTCTACGTTTGCGAAACGTGGACCCCCCTAATGGAACATCTTCGCCGGTTAGAACATTGAGGCTGGCCTGCCTACGATCCATCCTGGGTTTAACCAGGCTGAATTGTGTGAGGAGCTTACAAATCCTTGAAAGATCTGGACAAAGTCCCATCGGCGAACTCCTCTGGCATGCAAGGCTGTGTTGGCTGCGGTATGTAGCCTGCATGCCCAGCCACCGCATGCCTAAACAGCTTTTGTTCAGCTGGATAGAGGGGGCTAAACGGGCACGGCATGGGCTGGAGAAGAGATGGAGTGATGTGTTGCAGTAGGAGGTGGCGCTGAGTGGACTTGCCAATGACTGGTACAAGCGGTGTCAAGATTGGCATCTGTGGATGAGGCTTGTGAAGGATGCTACTGGGCAGTTGGAGGCAGTCGCCCTCCAACAACAACGGAGGGCGGAGGAGCGACGCTCACAACGAGCAGAGCGCCGGGTGGCTAAAGCATAGTAAGTTGGCACAGTAGGGGGCACAGGTGGAGCATCGGCCATTCATATCAGTCAGTCGACGCCTGGCACCTGGGTCTTACCCATGACCTCCTGCCAGCGGGCGTACGACACTTCACGTGGCCTCAACGTGCACGTAGCCTGGCACAAGCGCCGTGGTGACGTCACCGCCACTTAGTGGCGGATGGCGGTTATATATTTGTGAAGGCACTTTTCTCTAGACTAGTGTCATATTCCGTACCTTTTTGATGACACCTGTGCCGCTTATAAAGGCTGTTCTATTCTTGCAAATGATGGCAGCAATGTGTCCAGGAGCCTAAATGCCAATGTCGAAGTCTGCCAGCCATGAGAGAGAGGGTTTCAGGAGAGAGTTTTTTGTAATACAGTTGATCATCGATTATCCGGCTTCCAATATTATCCGACTTGCAGGCCGATCCAGAGAAACCGGCAAAATCGCTCCAAAGACTGTACCAGTACGGGGATATGCAATGTGTGTGTGACGAAAAAAGTAGCTATGCTTGGTTTGTGTTAAATATATTAAATAGAGTATATTATACACTAGACACAACTTAAACAATGAAAATACTGCACGTATATACATAACCCCATGCAGAGTCTTCGAGATTGGAGAGTGGCAAGTCCTGTAGAGTAAATACTTTTTAAAGTAGGGTAAGTTATTATTGTCTATTTGTATGTTTATTTACGCCAATTTCACATAGTAAACCAATTTAAAACACAAAAATTATATATGACAACTAAAAAACAATGTTATACAAGAATGTGCAAAAATAACCTTTTTTAGATGTATGATTATCCGGCGTTTATAAAATCCGGCACCCTATCCCCCCCGAAGTTGCCGGATAATCGGTGCTCTCCTGTATTGCCATTCCTCTATTGAAGGATGACAGTGGTTTACTAGATGGTCCATAATTTGAGGTGCATTGTGGCCATGCAAGCCAAACTTATGTGCATGTAAGAAAGGCAGTGTATGTATGTAGGTGAGGGCAGAGTGGAGAGCATTGATTTTTCAAAAATAAAATTACGGTATATTTCATATTTATCTGGAAAAAGCTAAAATATTTACTTTCTTAGAGAATGAACATTGCAGAGCACAGTCTGTTCTATAACGTGGCAGTTGCATTCCTGCAGAACAACGCGTTATGGGAAAATTGCGTTATGATAAATAATATATAAAATAGGGTAAAGCACAGTCCGCGATAACACGTGAGATTCGTATGCAGGCTGAACAAAGAATGAGGCATCTGGGTAGCATCTCTAAGCATCCAGCAGTATCCCAGTGCCTTGTGTGATGCTATGCCGAGGCAGCCGTACAACCGCTTATTCCTACTAGCGCGACATAGTTCTGTTTACTCAATCGCGTTATATCCAATTTGTATCCACGGTATAAAAATGTGTTCCCGAATACATCATTCTTCACCAATGTTAGCCATGGCCAGGAATCAAACACGGGTGATCGCGTTCATAGCGATTTGCACTAACAACTGCACCACCACTTTAACTCTACACCCCTTAATTTCATATTATTTTTTACATCAGCTAAATAACAACAAACACCACTATTAATATGTTACTTTTGTGTAAATGTAACGATTTGTTCCGGTTTGTACACCGTTCTAGCATTTCTTTGATGATTGCTCCCCACGACCGTCGCGTGCACTGGAGGTTATTAATCTGACCCCATTCCCGGGTAATGAAGCGGGATAGAATTGACATGGAGTGACCCTGTGTTCCGTTATTTTCGCAAACACAAAGCCGCCTGTGTTCTAACATAAAACACGTTTGTAGGCATATTTTTTGTTTTGGTCGCACATGTACTCATTCAAAGGCACTTAACTATCAAAGACAAGTCAGCATGACGCAGCAGCATTTTCTTTTTTAATCTCAACGTGGAACATTTTCTTTAGAGCTACAATTTCAGCGGCCGTACCCGCGGGCGACGGCGAGCGACTTAACAATGTGAGGCGAACTGTTTGGGGTAGAGGATAACAATCGTGCGCTTTGTAGGCGGCGGTGACGTTAAAGGCGCGCTTGTTTGTAATGTTCAGATGGGTGCGGCCTTCCCGGAGGATGAGCCCACCGGGGCCGCATCGGCGGCCGTGCTGGACGGCCGACCGGCGTGCTCGCGGGAGGCGGATGAGTTCACCGCACGACACAAAGGGTAGTCTCGCGCGAACCAGCTTGCGGCCGTCGTCTGCCCAACTGGAACGTGGGAACTGATTTGATGTCGGGATTATTTGACTGGCGGCGGCGTCTTACCCCCAACAGTGTAATCGTTTCAACGTAAACATGCGTTGCTCCCCCCCACCGCGCGCCGGCCGTGCGGTTTTCGTTTGGCGAAACGTTCTCCTCTCGCGCTAGCGGGTCACGGAGCGCAGCGCTCTTTGCTCTGTGGTGCTGCGGCAGAGCGAGATGGGATTTGTTGCTGTGTAATGAAGTGGTTTCATCTGCTCGTGATTTAATTAATTGTCGTGAATCTGGGTCATAGTATTGACTCGAATCTATAATTTTTGTGTCATTCGCCCTATTTATGAATATCATTCCATGAATCAGTCCTTTTCGTTGAATTTTTAATTTGACCCGGCAATACACCGTCACGCTTGACATTCTGTGTGTTAGTGGCATTGCGGTTATTGAAACAAATTTTTTAAGTGTGCCTGAGAAATGTATCTGTCGAAGTTTGGATTCATATGAAGATGCTTGTGCAGTAGTTAACTCTGCTCGGATCAACGTCAGGGTGTTTATGTTGCACAATCATCGGCAACACATATTTTTACGGTGATTATGCTGCTTATGCACAAAGTGTCCTGGAAATGAACTCTGTTGTGTTTTTTTTGTGGCAGCTCAAACCTGGAATTTCCTGAAACGTTCAAGAGACAGCAGGCCAAAAATCACCGGTAAGAGCCTTCTGCCACGTGTTTCTCAAACCTCTTTCATTGGCCAGTGACTCATGGATTCCAAATGCATTTGTCCCAGAATACAATGTATATTTTTGTTCATGCAAAACTGGCATTGGAGTAATTAATAGAGGAAAGATTGCACCTTAACAATTTGTGTGATGACAGGATTTTGTAAAGTGCACTTAATTGTAGTGCAGCAATACTGCTCAAGTGATTAAGTTAATTGGTACCGGAAGTTCATAAAGGGCACCACGGTTTGCCATTAAGGGCGCCACAGTGGCGAGATGTTAACTGCCTAGCCTGGCATGCGGGACATCATGGGATCGATCCCAACCCTGACGCCCGTATATTCGGTGTTCTCCCTGAGGTCACGTGGATTTTTGTCCGGGTCCTCCGGTTTTTCCCTCCACATTTAGAATCAACATCACGCGTTTAGAGTATTTGGCCGCTATAAATGTTCACATGATAAGCCACTTGGTTGAGCTATCATTTGTGGCCAAGTTGCTTCGGAAATAGAGATATATAGCTCCAGTGGGCCTTACCTGGTAAAATACGATTTAGCTTGCATAGTTTAAATAGTAATGAAGAGTAATGATATCATCTTGTGTATCCATGCCACTATGTTGAACTTCTTTCGCACCGCACGGCACATGATGTGGAACGTGGTGGGCACACTCATTTTATGCGTCTCATTTCCCCGATTCGCTAGAACGTGAGATTTTGTGAATGAATTGGCCAACTTTGCTGTGTGAGTGAATCCATGCTCACAGTGTGCATGATGACCATACCGAGCTCACAGTGTGCATGATGACCGTACCGAATCCACGGTGTGCGTTATGACCCGTACCGAGCCCACGTTGGCAGCTCCACGCCCCAAAACTATTGATTTTGAGGAAGCATCCTGCAAACTGCCGTTTTTATCCATTTGTGCCGCCCAGACGTAATATAACAAATCCCAAATGGTATTTTGATTTATAAAATAGCATCTGTGGCTATTGATCTAAATCCACAGTGTAATCAATTTTGTTGGTGACGAGGCTGGTCGGGAGCGGGGCTCTCTGGCGGTGATGCAAGGTCACGGTTTGGTCTGTGCATGCCAATGCTCTCCATAACAGCGATTGTTTTGGCAGTGTGCTTGCTGGCTGTGGTGCAACGCCGATTTTGAGGAGTGTTTTTGGAAAAGAGCGTTGCACAAAAATTGTAATAATTTTTTATGTGCGCATCGTGTGAATGCAAAACGTCACAAAAACTTTAACTAAGATGTGAACTATCGGAATGATATCAACTCAAAGTAATTCATCACACCCTTGTGGGTGGAATCAAGCAGATAATACTTCACTTAAATATAGAGCGTTTAATTCACTCTATCAAACTGGATTTGTTTAAAGGCACCTTTCACCAAACCAAGGACCCTGCACAGAAATGATTTATCCTCCGTTAAAACTTTAAAATCATGCAATTACAGTCATAACTAGGTTCATCTGCAGCCGTATGATTTCATTGAGTTTTCATCTTTATTGCCAGGCTGAACAGGTATGTTTTACATGTTTTTACATATTAAACTCCTGTGTTATATTTGTATTGGAAATGCAGACACTTGCTGAGAAGTTATAATGTAAACGATGACCAACACAGGTACATTGGATCCCAGTTACTCTATCAATATTGTAGAGTTGCCAAAAGCACCATGCCTATTTGTATCATCAGCTGTTGCTCACTAAAGATGTAACGCCTGAAGGCCGAATATCTGAACAAATTTAATCGCTGCAACTGGCCATGGAAACGTCCAATCAGATCAGAGGGCTGCATCGTCACCCCAGGATTGTGTGCTCTGTAGACCAACCATTGTACATGAAACACATATAAACAAACTCTGTTTTCATTGGCTAGATAGAGGCTTTGCCATGAAATTTCCCGAGCGCATCATGGCTGGTCATTTTTGCCGGTCGAACGGCCAGCACTCGTAGCTGCCACTGCAAGGCCTCTTGTTAGTGCGATCTGCAGGACTCAAATACATCTCTGTTGTGTTTGTGTTGTTCCCAGCCTCTGGCAGAAGGTGGGCCTACTGCAGGACAGCTGCACGCCAGAGGAGGAGGCGTACGCCCTGAAGTTGCGGTCGACTGTATCCTTAAGAAATGGTGCGATGCTGGCAAGCACACAGAGCCAAAGGACTCCGGGCTGAAACAAAGAGGTCCGTGTGAAGCACCGTCTGGATAGGGTCACGCGATGTTTTTTGTGTCTCTCTTACTGATGGTGGCGCAGTTACCACTGCACCGTGCAGTGGCAGTGTGGGAGTGGAGTTCATAGTCCCATCAGAAACAGAATCTTTATGTAGACTGGAGGAATCTGATGAACTATGAAACTCTTTTTTCACAGATGTCCAGTAGTGATGATTCTGCAGCATTGAGTGAGTTCTGTATACATTTTATGGGCATGGCTTTAGTTTGACCGTACTGGAGCATTGTACTCCGAGTTAGTAACACGAAGGGACTGTGGTTGCTCTTTAGTGTTTTGGGGTCCGCTTAATAAAACTTTTCAACTAAACAATTTCTTATTTTACCAGGTAAGGCCCACTGAGCTATATAGCTATTTTTGCAGAAACGACCTGGCACAAATGATAGCTCAACCATGTGGCTTATCATGTGGATCTAATAACGGAGCCCTCGTTGCGTAAAACGGTGCGTTGACAAGTTGAGCACACCAGGCCTGCCTGGCCGCTGTTTTGCAGAAAGGAAGTTTGCCTCCCCCCTGCCCCCCCGTTGCAAGTGCACGCTTTTGGACTGGGTGTGGAACCTGGCAAGCGGCAAGGAAGAGATGTTTCACGTAAGGTCTCCCCAGGACAAATAAATGTTAGTGATGGGGAGAGCCTGCTGTGCCTGCTTCCACGTCCTGGCACGGGGAGCAGACACGGGAGCGCGTCCGATGCAAATCCACTCGCATCGCCGAGGAGTACAAATAAGCTTTAGCCGACAATGCTTTCTTTTACCCAAGGCCAAAATTAACACAGCTGCCCATTTGGTTTATTTTTCGTTCTCACCTACCATGACACACCCCTGGGAATATGCGTCAAAGTGATTGTCAAGGTTTGGGAAACTGCGTCTTTTTCCGTGAGAGGCCGAGCAACGTTCCTGTCAGAAGGTGCCCTCTGCTGGATCGATCCGGCCGCACTTTTTCTTGCAAAAGGAATGCCTTGATCTGCTGTCAGTGCCCTGAAGAATCAATGGGAGAAAACGCGACCACTCATATATTTTTCCATCGCATAAAAAACTATACAACAGTTCTTTATTTTACCAAGTAAGTCCCACTGAGCTATATCGCTCTTTTTTCAGAAGCGATATGGCCACAAATGATCGCTCACCAAAATGGCTTATCATGTGTGGATTAATAGCCAAATACTCGAAATGCATGTTTATAAATGTGGAGGGAAAAACTGGAGAACTCCGAGGAAAATCCACACGACCACGGGGAGAACATGCAAACTCCAAATATACAGCAGGCGTCAGGGTTGGGATCGAACTCACGACCTCCTGTATACCAGGCGAGGTAGTTAACATCTCTCCACCGTGGCATATTCGGATGACCTACAACAACGCATGTATTTGCAGTTGCCAAAGACCAAATTACCCGCAGTGTGCCAGGTCTGAGAAACTGCCGGTTAGCCCTGCGTAGAGTGCTGGCAAGGTTGGCCACAATTTACAAACATGGGGATTGTGGGACTACCCGGTGGGCAGTAAAGGGCAATGCAGACCACAAACTATTGTCCTGTATACTTCTATGCCTCTGCCGTGAATGCTTTACGCACGTCCGACAGCGATGCATTGCAGACGTGCGTACAGCATCCACAAAGACAACGTATACCTTGTTGATCTCGTCAAGGGGCATAAACCATCACGCGAACTCCAGTCATCCTCAGAGCGGTGGCTTTTGGCTAGCCGTCGAACAAAGTCAGTCACCGCATCGCGCGCTTTCAAATATGCTTATGCGGCCGTCTGGAACGCGATATTAGAAAGCCACTGGAGCTATGCACTTTTACATCTAGATTGAAAGCTCATTTCTTTCGAACTGATTTTTTGTAATTAGTTGATCTTCCGCCGCACCTCCGATTAGCACAGTTGGCTACGTACGGTGTGAAAGAAGTTCAGCATACACACATACCAACCCTCACTGTTCCAGCTTGCTGAAGCATGGTCAAACAATCGTCATGACTCGCCCTCATTTGGCAGTGGATTTTAACAAAGGGCTCTCTGCATGACCATTGTTTAGAATCCTAGATTGCCGTTTGAGTTGATCTAGTCCTCGTAGGGTGCGGAGGCTCGAGCTGAGTTGGTAAGGAATTAGTCTTGTGCTTGACACCAAATTCCCCTTGAACTCCGAGCCACATGCCATTCGAGAGAACTAATTGACTTACTGAGTAAGGCTGATTTGTGCTGTGGATTAGTGTCCATGGGAAACCAATTCCAACACCATAAGGGAAAGATTGCTCTGGTTGCGATGGATCGGTGAGTGTTAACAGTGTTTTTATTTATTTCATTTTAAAATTGACTTTCAATGCACGTGTGCCCGTATTCAACTTGCAGTGCATTGGTTTATTTTTTAAGGCTTGTAGCAATATTCCATTTATCTGTAAGCATATAACTGCAATTATCTGTTGAAATATGGGATTAATCTACTGATTATTTCTTTGATCAAAGTAAAGAAAAATATGAGCATACAATTTGTGAGTGTGGATCGATGACATAATCATTCACCATCAGCGTATCACACCAGGCGTTGACTGGCAAGTTTTCCTGCTTTTGGATTCTGACGATCGATTTGTTCATTGCTTTCATTGGCTTAAAATTATTACAATGTTCGCACTATATTAATGTTATCAAAAAAGTTAGGTAGACACTACGTCCCCTTTGTAGTTCTCTCCCCGTAAATAAAAGTATTTATTACACAACCCATAAGCCCCATGGCTTTCTGGGAGTGCATAAATTCAGCAGCATTGGACCGGATTCGACATACAATGTCTCATCAGCAGCCAGGCTTATTGGAATGAATGCAGGCGACCTGCCAGATGTTATATAGAAGGTCCCGCTCTTGAAGATATGGGTCCTAGTTTGACACAATTATGTATTTCATAATTGTATAATAATCTCCAGCGAAACATCATAACATACAAAGTTGTCAATTTTGCTCACTTATCAACAGAAATCAATTGGCTCATTTGCCCTTGGGACACATTGATTCGATTGGCTGTGTCGGGCGGCTAAGGGTTATCATAAAAAAACGATTCCTACCGCAATCTAACCCAAAGAAATTAATTACGAACCTGACCGTTTATCATTGTCATCACTCCTTGCGTGTTATCGCGCCTCGCACGAGTAAACCAAGGCCCGGGACACCTTCGGCGTGTGAACCCACTGCCGTGTGTGTATGCAGGTGCGTGCGCGCACTCTCCTGTATCCGACCGGTGTGTTTGCCCTTGACCGAGGCACAGTTTCTCGACGGTGGGGTGGCCACGTTGAGCCGCCACGATGTGGCACAGCGGCTTGAGGAAGTCGACCTTGTCACGAGCAGCATGGACCACCTGCTGTGGAAGGAGATGGAAGGCCGTGCCGTGGACGGTGAGTAGCTGACAAATACCCCACTTGCAGACACTCTGTATGTATGTTGAACGTCTTTCGTACTGTCCAGCCAACCATGCAAATCAGAGGCGGCACTGCTTTCTATCTGTGTAGCTTTAGACAACCTTGCACTCCATCATATAGAGTTTATTACGATGCGATTAAATGCACGCTCCTTAAATGTGTGACCAATTTATTTAGAAATGTGAACACATTTTACAAATTTAATCGGGAAATTATTTTGCTTTGCAGTGCATAGTCCAGTTGCAATCAAGCACACACTGTAACCCCCTTTATACCTCGTGGCCCATGGTTTGTGTAATTGGACTTATTGTGATCTTATTGTACACACAGAATTCTATTACTTTCTTACCAGCTCTGCAAAGTGGGCAAGACGTAATGTCCTTGCGCGCAATTATAATTTCAAACAAACCACGACCCGCGTGCTGGCACCTTGCGCTCAACAGTTTTGTATAAAAGCGATCGCACGAAGCGTTTAAATTTTACAAGGTTGTTTTAAAATTGCTTTCATAAAATACCGCCAGTTTGGCAATTTTCTCTTTAGAGTGTTCTTGGTTTAATATCAAAAACATTTGTCGAAGGGGAAAAACTAATTACGGCAAAAAAAATTTGCGAAGAGCAGATTTTCTCCCCGTTGCCCCTTTTGTCAGCTGTAATCGCTCCGGGTGACTCGCGCGCCCTGCTCCTGCTCGTTTGCACGCCGCTTAACCTGTCCCAGCGCCGGTCTCTTCCTGCGGAAAGCAATGAAAGGTGACTCCCGCTATCCACTTAATTACGTCCCCCTCCCGGGCAAGTTTGGCAGGACACTTTGCCCCAACTACAAGCGACTTATACAGATTCCGGTGGGGAAGAAATATTTCAAAAAACTTTGCAGAACCGCGTGCATAAGGGGCAGCACCCGCCACCGCTGTTCCACCGCGCATCACAACGATGCCTCCCAGACGACCAGTGGTTCTAACTGCTGCTATTATCGAGTAATGCGCCCGGATGGGCAGAAGGCAAGAGCTGGGACGACAGGCCGGTGTTCGCACGCACACGCGGCACCTTTGCGCTCACTCGCGTGCGTACATACGTAAGTGAATGCCGGCGATGTCCTTGTTGGTTTGCAGCCAGGATGTTATGCAGGTGAATGTGCACGTGTTCAAACATTAAAGCTGCAGAGGCGAACTCTGACCTGGGAAGGTCATCGGTAATGTTAAACGTCTACGTAAAGAGCATTGTTGCACGCCCTTCACACGCCGTCACGAATCCCCACTACTGCAGTTTTTTTTTCTAATTTTATAGGGCTCACAAGCTCGGCCTTGCACTCAACTGCAGTTTACAAGTACGACGTAAAATCATTAGCGAATCTGGCAGGCTGCCATTTCAGCCAGTGTCCCCGCATCCCTCCCTCCCTCCCTTGCTCCCCACCCAACCTCCTCCAACAGGGTGTTGTCTTTGGCCCCTTGTGAGCGCCACCGCTTTCCCATGCTTGAGTGGCAGTGAACGGGGACACGGCACAGGGGTGGGGGAGAACAGGAGCGCAGCTGCTTCACACACACCTCATTTTCCAGCGCTCGCCATCGCACCGTGCCCCCCCCACCCCGCCTGGCCCCCTTCCAGACACGCACGGGCGCGCGCTTGACGTGATCTCCACGCTCCCAAGACCGTCTCGTTCTCCCCTTGTCCTATTCCTATAGGTTGTGCAGTCTCATCATTGTCGTTTTCTATCGTTGTCGGTTTATGTGCTGAAGTTTATACTGTGGAGGCTTGGAATCTACAAAGTTATTATTCATAATATTGACAATGGACGATTATTACTGATAGGGCGTTCACCCGTTATGAAGTTGGTCCCTGAGAGGGATTCTAATGGTAGCCATCGTTTGCAGTCCCGTTAATGCTGGCGTTACATAATTTAACAATATCGCAATCAATCCATGGTTTGTGGTGAATTGCCATTACATTTTCAACTCGGCTGCTGATAGATTAGGTGTGTGCACGTGTAGTGTTGTTTGCACAGCAGATATACAGTAGCTGAGCTTGAGAAAAGATGAGTCCTTGATTTTCAATGTATTTTTGGGATCATGGGGAAAGCAATCGGTAATGTGCATCAGTCCCTCTTCTCGCTTCCTATATGAAGTGAATTGGGCTCATCGGGATCTCAATAGATGCTTGTTTCTTCTCCAGAAACTCTTCTGAGCCTTCAAAAAAGATATAACTGGCAAATGCATGACACAATGGGTATCACATGATCAGCCACATTTTCCCACCGCACCTTGTGTTGTTTGGACACGATTAGATTTTTCCAATACTTCCCATTCTATTGCGACTTTTAATTTCCCCCTGTTGTAAGTGAAGACGTCTTTACAAGTTGAATTCATAAGGAATGAACAAAGGCAATTGCAGCTCATTCGACGGATGTCTGATCGCCATCACTCCACGGATGAGCTGTGTTGTGCGCGTTAGTTCAATTTACTGTAACAGCGCAGTAATTTTTGTCCGTTGATCTGCGGTCTGCTGGATTTGGTGGCGATGCCACGGCCCTGTAGGCAGCAGCTAGGAGGCGGCCGTTGGTTGACGTTGCAGAAATGGAGGCGTCGTGCACTTGAGATCGCCTGCTGATGGTGCGGCGGTGGCGGCAGGCATATGGAGGCTTTGGACGACGGGGTATCCCTGTGCAGAGTTGGAATATTTAGCTCGACCGTACGTGGGGTTTTCACCCGGCGTTCTGGTATTCCTTCAACATTTAAACGTAAAAGTAATCGGCCATGGTGCATCCACTGTTGGATGGGCCGCCCTCTCCCCCTCAAGCCACCACTTTCTCTCACTGATACGTGTATACATTCCCAAAACAAAAAAAATAATTGACCAACCGTTTGAAAACGGGACTCCCCATAAAAACCACGCAGAGACTTGGTGATGCTTTTCTTGAGGATTATTGGTTTGGTACGATAAACTGCTACTAGAGAAGATTCGATCTGGATACAGCCACATTGCTCATGTGATTTGTAACTTTGATCCTTACCTGTTTAACGATAGTTACATTTTAATGGGGTGCCATGTTGGCGAGATGTTAAATACCTCACCTGGTATACAGGAGGTTGTGGGTTCAATTCCGACCAAGATGTCTGTATATTTGGCGTTTGCGTGTTCTCCCTGTAGTCGTGTGGATGTTTCTCCAGGTCCTCGGGTTTTTTATCAACATTTTGAAACGTGTGTTTCGAGTATTTGGCTGCAATAAATTTCCACACGATGAGCCACTTTGTTGAGCTATCATTTGTGACCAGGTCGCTTCTGAAAAAGAGCTATACAGCTCAGTTGGTCTTACGTGTAAAATAAGAATAGTCTTATCGTTTATAGTGTAATTTTATTTTATTGAGGAACTTATCTTGGTGTGGTCTGGGACTGCTTTTGTTCTTGTTTTTGCTGCCTTGCCCAAGCTTGCATTTAGTGTTGAAAAGGCGGACTTACGTAATGAAGTTATGTTTAATTTATCTTCTTGGTTCTTACGGTAAAGTCACGTAGAAGGGAAGTAATAAAATAATAAAAATAAAACAATTCTCACGACGTTTCGGCCACAACGCAAGCAGCCGTCCTCAGGTGAAAACCAGGTCCGTCGAGGCGACAGAGTCTGAATGAAACAGCACACGAGCTTGGAGCATATATATAAGCTGGGCGCATTGACAAAGGAATTTGCATATCAAAAGGAATTTAGCATATTTATGGGAAATGCAGGAATGTGATTAGTACTGCATATGCATGTGCATTATGCAGGATTAACAGCATCAAAGGGAGCTGCAGTTACTGCTGCTGCAGCAGTTGCTGCTGCTGCTGCAGTTTCTGCTGCTGCTGCAGTTGCTGCTGCTACTGCAGTTGCTGCTGCTGCTGCACTTGCTGCTGCTGCTGCACTTGCTGCTGCACTTGCTGCTGCTGCACTTGCTGCTGCTGCTGCACTTGCTGCTGCTGCTGCACTTGCTGCTGCTGCTGCACTTGCTGCTGCTGCTGCAGTTGCTGCCTTATCCATTTTAATATAACACTATGTATTATTCTACCCACCCTAATGTGTATCATACTGCTATATGTTTACTGTACAATTACGACACCATACATTACTCTGCACACTGCACCATGCCAGTGAGTGGAACGTGGTCTGAAAGTCACCGTAAACGTGAACACAATCAGTTAAGATCCGAAATGGTTTATTACGTCCTTCCAATGATTGCTAAGCCAGAATCCATCTTCTCGGTTGAAATTGTCTCTGTGTTTGTATATGTGGATCGCCTCATGAACGAATCTCTCATGATAGCCAGATGGCTTGCAGAGAACCTCTGTCTTGGAGAAGTCAATGTCATGTGAGCCCACTGAATTGTAACAGTGATCTGCCACGGCTGAGGTGTTTGTCCTACCGTGTTTCAGGTCTGCCTTATGTTCACGGATGCGGTCCGAGACATGTCGTTTGGTTTCTCCAATGTAACTGCTACCACAGAGGAAACTTAGTTTGTAGACGCCAGGGTACTGTATGTCTGGAACCACATCTTTTACAGACGGGACCAGATCACGGATTTTATGTACTGTGTTGAATCGGACCTGGATCTTGTGTTTAATCAGGATTTTGGAGATCTTTTTTGTGACCCCAGCAATGTAGGGTAAGGTGATGGTCTTGAAAGGCTCCTCAACAGGATCCTTCTTGATGGTTGGAGTGATGGCTTTGCGGATTGTGTAGTCGGAGTAACCATTAGCCTTAAGAGCTTGGCGTACGTGTTTGAGTTCACTGGAAATGTGTTCATGGTCGGAGATGCATTGGGCTCTATGATATAGAGTCTTGATGAGGGAATTCTTCTGGGATGGATGGTGGTGGGAATCCGGTTTTAGATAAGCATCCGTGTGGGTGGCTTTCCTGTAGACAGAGTGGCTCATTGAACCATCAGGTCTCCTTTTGATTAGGACATCCAAAAAGGGTAGCTTGCCATCATTTTCGACTTCCATGGTGAATCTGATGGCTGGGTGTATGGAATTGATGTGGTCGAGAAATTGGTCTAGAGCAGGCCACATGGCCGGCCTGCTCTAGACCAATTTCTCGACCACATCAATTCCATACACCCAGCCATCAGATTCACCATGGAAGTCGAAAATGATGGCAAGCTACCCTTTTTGGATGTCCTAATCAAAAGGAGACCTGATGGTTCAATGAGCCACTCTGTCTACAGGAAAGCCACCCACACGGATGCTTATCTAAAACCGGATTCCCACCACCATCCATCCCAGAAGAATTCCCTCATCAAGACTCTATATCATAGAGCCCAATGCATCTCCGACCATGAACACATTTCCAGTGAACTCAAACACGTACGCCAAGCTCTTAAGGCTAATGGTTACTCCGACTACACAATCTGCAAAGCCATCACTCCAACCATCAAGAAGGATCCTGTTGAGGAGCCTTTCAAGACCATCACCTTACCCTACATTGCTGGGGTCACAAAAAAGATCTCCAAAATCCTGATTAAACACAAGATCCAGGTCCGATTCAACACAGTACATAAAATCCGTGATCTGGTCCCGTCTGTAAAAGATGTGGTTCCAGACATACAGTACCCTGGCGTCTACAAACTAAGTTGCCTCTGTGGTAGCAGTTACATTGGAGAAACCAAACGACATGTCTCGGACCGCATCCGTGAACATAAGGCAGACCTGAAACACGGTAGGACAAACACCTCAGCCGTGGCAGATCACTGTTACAATTCAGTGGGCTCACATGACATTGACTTCTCCAAGACAGAGGTTCTCTGCAAGCCATCTGGCTATCATGAGAGATTCGTTCATGAGGCGATCCACATATACAAACACAGAGACAATTTCAACCGAGAAGATGGATTCTGGCTTAGCAATCATTGGAAGGACGTAATAAACCATTTCGGATCTTAACTGATTGTGTTCACGTTTACGGTGACTTTCAGACCACGTTCCACTCACTGGCATGGTGCAGTGTGCAGAGTAATGTATGGTGTCGTAATTGTACAGTAAACATATAGCAGTATGATACACATTAGGGTGGGTAGAATAATACATAGTGTTATATTAAAATGGATAAGGCAGCAACTGCAGCAGCAGCAGCAAGTGCAGCAGCAGCAGCAAGTGCAGCAGCAGCAGCAAGTGCAGCAGCAGCAGCAAGTGCAGCAGCAAGTGCAGCAGCAGCAGCAAGTGCAGCAGCAGCAGCAACTGCAGCAGCAGCAGAAACTGCAGCAGCAGCAGCAACTGCTGCAGAAGCAGCAAACTGCAGCTCCCTTTGATGCTGTAAATCCTGCATAATGCACATGCATATGCAGTACTAATCACATTCCTGCATTTCCCATAAATATGCTAAATTCATTTTGATATGCAAATTCCTTTGTCAATGCGCCCAGCTTATATATATGCTCCAAGCTCGTGTGCTGTTTCATTCAGACTCTGTCGCCTCGACGGACCTGGTTTTCACCTGAGGACGGCTGCTTGCGTTGTGGCCGAAACGTCGTGAGAATTGTTTTATTATGTTTTATTTTTAGTATTTTATTACTTCCCTTCTACGTGACTTTACCGAAAGAACCAAGAAGATGAATCCCTGCAGTCACGAAAGCTTTAAATCGAAAAATATGTTTAATTTGTTTATATTTAGTGACTTGTTTAACTTTTTCTCTATTTTGCACTCCCATCGTTTTTTTGTATCATTTTATGTTGTAACTTGCTGACCCGGCCCTACTACACATCTGTGAAATAGAGCTTCATAGCTCATCGGATTCCTCGAGTTGATACTACAGGGTTACAGGAAGATGTGTCGTAGAATTAGATTGGAGTGTTGAATGTGCAAATTAAAGGTAAGTGACGCAATTCTATGGCTCTGAATTAGTATTTTGTTCCGCATTCACCGTGTCCGGTGCCATTGATTTGGAAGCCGTTAATGAATGGTGATCGTATTTTTGTTGTTGTCGTCTATTGGAACATTTCACGAGATGTTGCTGCACTCAGGAGAATAATGGCGCATTGCACATTTGTTAACTTTGCAATGCGCCAACTCGGCCGTGATTGAGTTAATGGGGCCTCTTGCATGTCGCCGCCGATTGAAATGAGGAGCACGGGGTTACGTGATTTCAGCGCGTCACGTGCACGGCATCCAGCGTTCCATTTGCCGTGAACGATGAGCAGGCCTGCCTTATCTTTGGTACGATGGGCACCCCATCACAGGTGAAATTCGCCCTTCGACTTGCGACGAATGTGTGGTTTCGCTGTTGCGGCGCTCCTATTAATAGGCCAATTAAAAAAAACGTGCAAAACCGCTGCCAATAATAGGTCGAGTTACAGCACCACGCAGACCCTGGCTAACGACGTGAGATTAAAAATCTGCCAAGCCCCCCCCCCCCTCACTCTTGTTCCTGTGCCGGTCTTCCCAGCAGAGGTTAGGGAGATAGGCTGGAGTCGGATGCACGCCGTCCCACCCAGGAGCCTTCCTGTCGACTTTCATTACCAAGTTCCCAGCACAGCTTGATTACAACAAAAAAAAGTTTTACTCCAGGCCTATGCGTCAGAAAGGGAGGGTGAGGCCTAAAAACGCGCGCGCTTCTGGCACATCCGTTTGTGTCGTAAGAGATGTTATCTGAAAGGCGTTCCACAGCGTGAGCATGGCCGGCACGGCGGCGGCGGCGTATTAGCGAGATACTGAGCAGGAATACAAGTAGCGGTTGTGGTTCTGTCGGCCGCAGGTTCTCGTCAACAATGCGTTTCCAGCAACGGTTTTTTTAAAATCCGAGAACTTTGAAGGCTCACACGAATTCAAGCGGCTTTTATAAAACGAGAAGCCAAAATATTTTCAGCAGAGTGTGAACTGGAATAAGTTTGATAGCGGTGACCTAATTAAGCAGATTCGATCTTTTCCACGGTGCTGGGCAGGGCACTTTTCTTGTCCATCTGTAAAAACCCCTGAAGTGATAAAAAAAAATCTTTGAAAGAAGCAGGTCACACGAACTTCAAACGCGCGAGGAAGGAAATGAGGCGTGTTGACGCAGCAAGCTTTCGTGCGCGACCGCGGTTTAATGGGCGACCGGGCCACGCCACCGCTCTGTGCTGCAGTGCCGCACTCTTGCCCCGCTGCCCTTCCTGAAGCCGGGCCTTTCCCTGGTGTTCCCTCCCCGCCACATGCCTCTCCACACCCACCCTCCACGCTCCCATCCTCCCCTCCGCCCTTACCGGGCGAAACGCGGACACGAGTTTTCCCCCCCCCCCACCCAGCCCCGCTGAGCCAAAGTATCGCACGTCAAGGGTTGCACGATGAGGTGAAGCGATTGTTCCGCCAGGCCTCATGGGTAGAACTTCCACAGTATTTTGCAAGCTACGCAAGAGCAATGCATCCAGTATGTTATTACACGATCTCGGTGACCTGTCTCACTGCTATAAAGAAGGCCTTTCGCCTGAAACATCACCCATTTTATAGATGTATTTTCCTCTTTTGAACAGTGATATTGCCATGCGTTTTATCTATATATTTGTGCTTGTACACTGCCAACAGTATCACATTTAAAAAATATATATATCTGCACAGTATTTGCACAATACTTGATGAAGCTGTAAAATTGTGCCCCACCTGATGTCATGGCTTAAGCTTGTTATACAGTGACTAAAAATGTAGATTTCAGAATGAGTACATCCATGAAATTCCCCATCTTAGGCCTTCTTGGTGCCTTTAAGATGCAGTATACCAAGTGGATCACGAGACTTTGCAGAGCGTCAGTGTTATCCGCCCAAACATGCGTGTATTTTTCTCCACGTGCTCCATTTTCCTTCCACGTGCAAAAAAGACTCCAACAAACATTCTACTTGAAAACTTTCTCAAGCAGAGAAGACCTTTTTGGAAAAAGTCTCGAGTCAGCAAGGCTTTTCTGAGAAACACAAATACAATAAATTATTCCTCCCGATCCACACACATTTCTTTCCAGCTGAGAATTTTCGTCAGTTCCAGAAGATAATATTGAAGCAGCAGTTGTTAATTCGCCTCTGTCCTCCTGTGGGCTCCCAGGCGGTCACAAGCGACATCCTGCGGTGTTAAGTACATACACACATTTACTTCATGGAAAGCCAGGAGTTTTACTGCCACACTGGGCTTCTCTGATTTTCACCACATGCTAATCCACGCCAGGAGTTTTACTACCAACACTGGGCTCCTCTGACTTGTACCACATGGTAACCCACGCCAGGAGTTTTACTACCAACACTCTCTGACTTGTACCACATGGTAACCCACGCCAGGAGTTTTACTACCAACACTAGGCTCCTCTGACTTGTACCACATGGTAACCCACGCCAGGAGTTTTACTACCAACACTCTCTGACTTGTACCACATGCTAACCCACACCAGGAGTTTTACTACCAACACTCTCTGACTTGTACCACATGCTAACCCACGCCAGGAGTTTTACTACCAACACTGGGCGTCTCTAACTTGTACCACATGGTAACCCACGCCAGGAGTTTTACTACCAACACTGGGCGTCTCTGACTTGTACCACATGGTAACCCACGCCAGGGGTTTTACTACCAACACTCTCTGACTTGCACCACATGCTCACCCACGCCAGGAGTTTTACTACCAACACTGGGCCTCTCTAACGAGCACCACATGGTAACCCACACCAGGAGTTTTACTACCAACACTCTCTGACTTGCACCACATGGTAACCCACGCCAGGAGTTTTACTACCAACACTGGGCCTCTCTAACTAGCACCACATGCTCACCCACGCCAAGATGCTTCACGGTTCAACGTTGCCGCTTGTGTCCCGCGTGTCCTTCACCCCCAGAGTCCCTTGGCTGGGAAGCGCTGTGCAAGAGGACGAAGCTCCTGGAAGAGTGCCAGCTGCTCATCTCCAGGCTCCAGGAGGAGCTGGCCCAGCTGCAGCAAGGTATGCGGAGGATCTCTACATTGAATCTTCTCTATCACTGTTAAGACTAAAATAGAGAGTTCACTTGCACATGTACCTAACTTTTTCCCCGAAGCATTGTGCTCTCATATTTGCACTGTTTTCTTATTTTTTTATTCGGCTGTGTTCCACTTGCGACCGTTAGTTATATTCCTAGTTTGTTAGTTGTACATTAAGTCTGAAGTGACCCTGCATTCGCTCTCTGCAATATTCTATGTTGTTGTCTTTGCTTTGCTGCTGCCGCCGCTGCTGTGCTCACACACCACGGATCTTCCTTGTAAACAAGCTGGGCAACTGGCCAAAACGGGATCATCCTTGTAACAAATAAAACAAAATCAAATTCAAACTGATGAAAGTGTCTCGACATTGAAGTCATGCCCCTCAAATGCACCCACACCGTTTTCCCCTCGTCTTGTATGTATGTTGAACTTACTTCCCACCATACATAGCGAACCTCGCTAATCGGTCAGTTCTTTGTGTCTTGATTCCGTTGCCAATTCCTTAAATTGTCCAACAATTCTCAGAGTCATAATTTCAACTTGTAATGGCGCGAGAAGGAACCACAGACAAGCAGGAAGGCAGCCACAGCATGAGCTGGCGCCAACAATTCCCCGAGCTCTGCAGTCCCCTATATATACAAAGGTGTTCTTGGCCAAGAAATTAGTGTTTGCACGTGGGAGGAATCCTGTTCACCCTGAGAAAACCCATGCGTGCGAGGAGGACGCACTGTTGTCGCATAAAGATGGAACAGGTGGTTGTCCACATGTTTTGCTGCAATTCCTCTCAGGGGTCGGCGACCTTCAGCTCCGGAGCCGCATGCTGCTCCTTAAGGACTGCTTAGTGACATTATTCACACGCATTGCGGCTCTTGAAATATAGACCTTTTCTATCGAATTGGGGGGAAAAAACGACTCTTCTTGTCATTTTTGGTTGCTGACCACCGGAATAATCCTCCTCGACGTCCATGGGAAGGAAGGGAGATTCACAACCCTCACTGCCGCCACAGCGCTGCATAGCCACCGCCCCCAGATGACTGTCACCCCTTTTGAGTGTCTGTGGCTTAGGCCAGTTATTGTCATCTACTGGTCTACGCTGACAGTCTCTGGGACTTTTCTGGGTGAATACGGTACAAGATTGCGTGTCATGCGGTGACGCAGTTGTGAACCCGCTGACCCGAGTTCTGTTGCCAGTCACGGCTAACATCAGTGGTGAATGATGTTTGAATCAGTCCCTGGGTGCCTTCTTCACCAACCCCGCCACATTACCAGCACAGTGAAGTTTGAACAAACAACCCCAATGACTGTTATGGCTCGGGCAGGCCTTCATCCACACCTCCGATTAACTCGCGTCTGGCTACGTACTGCGCGAAATAATTTGAGCATGCATACATCCATCGGTCGATTGACTGTATTTTATTATTTGTCTACAAAACAATTGTGCTATTATTTTATAGGAAAACTAATTCTAGTCCACGTGAGACTTTGTCCCCTGCGTGTAAGCTCAGTTTTCCCCTCCCCGTCCCGCGCCATCTGTGGATGTCCGTGGCGGCCCCTGATTAGTGGCCGAGCGGTGGTCTGCGATGGGCCACCGTTTGCAGGTGCCCAGTGCCGGCTTGCCCCAGGGAAGGACGGGGGCCCGCTTTGCCGAGCAGCTGATGAGGCCCGTGGTGACGTACAGCTCCGCGGAGGAGCTGAAGGAAATGGCGAGCGTGCAACACGACATGGCGTGGCTGCAGTTGCTTCAGCGTGTGCAGCAGGTGATTGTTGCTTATGTTGATGACGATGGTTCGCACGAGTGGGAGGTACATCGCTTAGGATGGGATGTACGATGCAGGTGGCCCAGTGGCTCGGGAAGCTCGTGTGATTTCAGAGCTGGTACCGCTGAGAGCCTGATTGTGTGCACCTGTGATCAAATCGGGTTCAGCAAGGTAAATGGTAGATTGTTTCGGTTAAGTCACCAATAATACATGTTGCCCTGTGGGCATTAACGTGTCAACGTAATGCCTGCACGCGTGATGCGCAACGCAGGAAAGATTGCGTAAATCTTCACAGGCAAATCTGTTACAAACGGCACTTGCTGCAAAACTGGAGTAAAATAAGATGCACGGAGATTACGTGCCCATCGGTATGGGCAAAGGGCACGGGCCCTGCGGGATGTGTGCGATCGAGCAAGGGGAGAATGACAGTGCGGCTGCATTCAGGAGCTACGCACATCGGGCACTGCTACCGCGAACAAAGTGAGCGCCTCCCAGCGTTACGCCGCAGTACCCGGGCTAGAGTGGATCCACCCTTGGCAAATCACGCGACCGTGACGTCGTTTTTCCATTTTTTACCGACCCCTCCGCCCCGATGTCTCCCCTCCCCCACTTCTGCCCCCTCCCCTCCCATGCGGGCTCCCTGGGAACGGGCAGGCGATCGCCGATGAGTTCCTTCCCTTCCTCAGCACGCTGGACCCCGCCCGGCCTCCCTTCCCCGCCGTGTACCGGGCCGTGTACTCCATCCTATGCGAGGGCGCCGAGGCGTTCCCCTCCCTGGTGCGCGATGCCTCTTTGTGAAGGCTGTTTACACGGGCGTGTGCGTGCGTGTGCGTGCGTGCGTGTGTGTCTGTGTGCGCGTGCCTGTGTGCGTGTGTGAGCGTCTCTGCGTGCGTGGGTGTACGTCCGTGTGTGCACGCGTGGGGGTGGGGGAACCGGTGGCGCAGTGGTTGGGGTACTGCGCTACAAAATCCAGCGATCTGCAATCGATTCCTGGTGTCGAGTATCTGAACCGGTCGTGGGCCTCCCATAGGTCAGCTCGGCTTCAAGATGAATCCCTTGCTGCACCATGATGCTTGGCCACACCACCGCCCCCCCACTCGCGCGCCGTACTAACCGTCGTAGATGTTCGCAAAGGGCACTACCCCGCAACAGCCTGTGTGGGCTACGCGGGGGATCTTTGTCTTTGTGCGTGCGTGCGCGCGGACCTTTCTCATCTCCCATCGTCACCGCAGCAGCAGCAGCAGCGGCAGCGTCTGTGTCCAATTACGTAATTGCGTCCAAATGTGAGGCCATTACGCTTGTCAGTGTCCCTTTATATTTTTTGTAGAGTGTAATTATGATCATTACCGCTGTCACGCGTTCCTTCGCCAGTCGCATCTGGGCTGGCGGGCCGCTAATAGTCGCGCCGTTTACGTTTGAGAGCGCGCGCCTTCGTCACCGCTAATGCGCCCTTGTCGGTGTTCTTACATCACAAATGTGCATCGGTCGCGTGAAAGTTTGAGAACACATTTGTCTACAATTACCATGTATAACACGATACCTCATGCACCGATGCAGTAAACGTTTATTGGAAAAATGTGAAAGTAAAAACATCTTTCGAAATCAGTCTGCTTTTGTTGTGGTTCTTACGCGCTTACAATTTGGGATGAATGCAGCATTTTCTCGGAATTATCTTTTTGTTTTTATTGCGGATGTTTTAGAATTTGAAGGAATGTGATTAGATCGGTGTAAAGAGTAATCTTCCATGGCAAATATCAAGTCTGCAAGGAAGTAAAGTTTGATTTGAAGCTTTTGTGACTGCAGGAATCCATACCCTTTGGTTCTTTCGGTAAAGTCACGTAGGTAGAAAATAAAATAGACAGTCTGCCTCAGCAGCAGACCATGCTTGCCCACCTGATGATGGACGCTTGTGTTGCGCCCGAAACGTGGTTTATTTTATTTTATACCCACGTGACTTTACTGAAAGAACCAAAGAGTATGAAGTAAAGTTTAATCGGAGGACGTCTGCTCACAGGTTGGTGAGTTGGTTGCTTTGCTCGGCAGTGGGGACAACTGAATATTGGAGCACAATTGTGAAGGGCACAGGGAAGGAAACGCCACAAACCATTGGTACTGCACCAATGCACGGATGCCTACAATTAATATCAATAATCTTTAGATTTTCTATTAAAGGCGTGAGCATTTAATGCCACGTAATTTATACTTATGAACAGAGGCTAATCCGACTCGACCACAACGTGTGAAGAGTACGCGACGAACCACGGCCGAGTGCTCCGCCGTGATACAACCAAGCGCCGCACACTGGCGGCTCAAGGCACCGTGTGCCCGGAAGGTGTAGGAGACCGCTGTGAGCGAGGGCACCGCTTGCGAGTCATACGTGGTGAGAGCTCTCAAGCCAGAACCAACACAAGTGCAAACGCGACCAAGCGGCGTTTTCTCTCGTCCCATTACACAGTACGGCACTAGGGGCACCACGGCGGCAAGATGTTAATTACCTCGCCTGGTATGCAGGAGGTCGTGGGTTCGACCCCGACTCTTGGCTTGGCGCCTGCTGCTGTATATTTGGAGTTTGCATGGCTGCTATAAATTTTCATACAAGCCACTTCATTCTCATTTGTAGCCAGGCCGCTTCTAAAAAAGAGCTATCTAGTTCAATGGGCCATACCTGGTCAAATTAAAGTAGTTTAAGAAATAGCTTATTTTAAATGTGAATGTTTTGCCTTCAGTTCCATGAGCAGGTGCGGGGTGGCCTGTGGAGAGGGAATAATCCAGCAGTGGATTAAGCATGGCTGCTGCTGCTGATATATTTACATTGTAATGATGTAAAAGTCGAAGGGATAGACAAGCGGTGAAATGCTGTGCATGTGCCATGTCGCATAAGGAAATCGACAAATCGATTGTGACTTTCAGTTATGCGATGTCGGAGAATGCGTGGCGATCACATTGGTGCCAGGCTCTGTTGAGCGGAGGCGCAACCCTGTTTGCACATTCAACCCGGCATTCGACTTCTGGGAGTGAAGCGTCTGCAGAGTGGTTAGCGCCTGTGCACTACTCGCCTGGAAACCCAAGTTTGACTCTCACCAATGTCGAACGTCGGTGGCGAACGATATCTGAACCGGGTCCATCAACCCGCACTGGCCAGCATGGTGAAGTATGGTCATTGTCATCACCAACATTGCAAGAGGGGGCCATCTCACAGTGGCGAGATGTTATCACCTTTGCCTGGTATACAGGAGGTCGAGGGTTCGAGCTCAACGATAACGCCTGAATATTTGGAGTTGGCATATTCTCCTCTGTGGTTGTGTGGATTTTTCTCGGTTCTCCGGTTTTCCCCTCCACATTTAGAATCAACGTGTGTTTAGAGTATTTGGCTGCTATAAATATCCAACGTGATAAAAAGCCATTTCATTGACCTATTATTTGTGGCCAGGTCGCTTCTGAAAAGAGCTAATAGCCGATTGGACTGTATCTGGTTAATAAAAGTGTTTCGTTTTATTCTGCAGTGGATGGACAAAGGGCCTTAACAATTATAATTCAGCCTGCGGCCAAAGCCAAGAGCACTGTTGGTGTGTGGATTTCTCGAGAATTATGCAACCTGGAAACCGGACGACTTGCCATAGAATAAAAAAAATTCCACCCAATTCACTCCCAACTATGAACAAGGACTTGCTAAAATAAGTTGGCGGATATCCGCGGGCTTGTCATTTTGTTGCACCTGGTGATGTGCCAGCCCCTCCTTGGTTGGCGTGTCATTGTTTACGGGTAGATTGCACCAGGGATGGGGGGGGGGGACAAATGCCACGGGGATTGTTGCAAGGTGGATGTTTTGCTTGTATCAATAATCCGTACGGCAGGAGCGAGGTCACCAGTTGGGTCTTCATTCGGGAATTCGAGGTGATGGAGCACCAATGACGCAATGTCCGCCGCGTATGTATTCCCTCCGGTTTGAGTTCGTTTCGAGCGATTTGACTTTCGCGACCGCCACTGCGTTGGTCGTCGGGCTGATTCCACTTTTTAAATGCCTGCGTTTGGATGTAACTCGACGTCGCCTGCGTGATGTCCCGTTATTGAACGCTGGCTCCTTACTGCACACACAAGAACATTGTTTCTCTCGCTGTTAACAAGTTGTTGTTGCTTCCCCAGTGTGAGCTTTGAGTGGAACAAATTGATCCCGAGCTCGGCCATCATTGGCGAATTGTGATCTGCGGATGAAATGCGCATTACAAATGTAAATTATTATATGGCTTTTTGGGCCGAAACCGTACCTAATTTTACAACTGAAATGTACCTCGCTGGAAAGTAAATTCTACAAATGTGCTTTTGTATTGTTTATAAATGTATCTTTTGGAGTTAATGTTTAGCCGATTGTCGTAAAAAAATCTCACTTGGAAGTATTTCTGCCAGAAATGTATTTACTGGTAGGAACCTCCTGGTTACACCAGCCAACAGGGGATTATTGTGTCCGTCGTGCAGGGAGGGGCTGGGTGGGGAGGGAGGGAGGGGCTGGGTGGGGGGTGGGAGGGGTGGGGCTGGGTGGAGAGGGGCTGGTCACCCCGTGGTGCCCTTATAAAACTCAACGTTTAACCTACTCACGCCGGCTTGTGCCCGCCCTCACAGTCGGGCATATTTGCGGAATACACCACGCCGCCGTTGACCCTGGCCATTGACCGAGCAACCCAACGTTCCTACCAGCTCCTTCCGCAGGAATGTGTTTCACGTTTTTTGTTCATGTGATGCTGTTATTGTTAACTTGTTCTGGTGTGGACATGTGTTATTGGTCACATATCGTTTCAATGTTTTTTATATTCGCGTTGTGTTATTGTTGACGTGTATTGTTGTTGGGCATCTGTGAAAACTGCTGGACATCTCTGAAAAAGAGCTTAATAGCTCATCGGATTCCTCTAGCCTAAATAAATATTCTCATTGTAAAGATTCACGTTTTATTATTTACATGTTCCGTATGCATGTTTTGTTATTTACATTCACATTTTGTTACTGTTTACATGTTATTGACATCATTTGTTACATGTCTTATGGTTTCCATGCATTTGTTTTGGTATTTGTTACGTGATATTTAGTTTTTAAAATAAATCATCGTTTTCGTGCGTTATTGCTCACGTGTTTGGTTTACATGTCGCTGTTGTTTTGCTGCTGCGTTGACGAATCGTTGAGTTGATCCGCTGTGCCCGTTTCCACACCCGTCTCCTCCTGGGGGTTGATCTTGAGAAAAAGCTCACGGGCTCAACGGGCTTTCCCCCGCGATATTACGAGTAAAATACTGCGACGCGATTTAATTGCTCCTTCGCACGTTCATTTTTCTGTCAAGGGCTACGACGTTCAACATTGCGACCGAATGTTTCCGGTGTGCAGCTTTGTAGCCTGGGTCACTGAAAACGAGGCTTATTGGTCGCCGTGGTTTGCTACTCGATATAAATAAACGAGATATTAGTCTCAGAAAAAACCCATAATGGTAGCATACCAAACCAACGAAATGCCGCGTGAAATTACCAACATTGCCCCACTGTCCTCTGAAGAACTTGATGAGAGACGGGAAGGAACTGAAAGTGTTGAGTCGACGTCTGGATTAACTCCGCATCGCTGGTCACCGAAGAACATTTGGCGAGGTGTTCGTATCTAGTCGTGTTTAGACGTTGCCAGTGGTGGTGCCGTGCTCTCTAAATTAAGATGCCTCGCAGGAACGTGGCTCGGTTTCAGAGTGGAATAGCAAACGCACGGGTCTTGCAGGACATTGCTTTGCAGCCCATCACGAAACGTATCAATCCCGCTCTCCACTTTATCGCAGATTCTTCCCAAGTTTACCAATCGGCGTGATTCGCGCTTGAACGGCGAAGACTGGAAACCTGGTGGGCTGCAATTACTAGACATTTGGATTCCAGGACTAAATTGCTATCTGTTTTGACAACCACTTAACAAGTGTCGAAAACTCTGTGGACAATCTGAAACCAACTCTGGTCCATCAAAGTTAAATTGTCAGGTCGAGTTTAGAGAAGAACACTGATTATCGTCATCGCTGTTCACCGGAGCGTCACAGAATTCCTGCATCGCCTTTAGAAGCGGGTTCTTAGAAAATGATTGGCAATGATGCCAGTATCCAAAATGATGAAAAATAATAATAGGCTTTACCCTATCTGGCAATAAAACGGGTGTTAAGATGTTCAAACACCTAGATACCTTTTGCAAGACATGAAGTCTGCATTAACCATACATACTTGTGCGCACAAACACGCTCTGATAATATATACATTGTCTTGGCTAATAACATGCAAAATTTATCTATTTGGTATTTGAACATCTTAACTCATTTTATTGTCCGAAAGGGTAAAACCTAGTCTTATTTTTCACGATTGTATGGCGGTTGTTCAATGGGGTTGGCTCTAAAGGTACACCTTATCACACACCGCTGGCAACAGCTGTTGCACATCACTCGGGCACCTTCTGGATTTCGCACGTGTGGGCTTTTGCAACTAATATTACTTCAAAATATTTTTTGGGTCAGATGGCGCAAGTAAAATGTGTGTCGTAAACCCTCCTCCACCCGACACAGCCAAGTAACAAAGCTGTCGCGTGAACTAATGTGCCAG